GTCTTATATTCCGAATAATACGGTAATTAAAATTAAATTGGAAATAATTAAGTAAGCTAAAAAAATAAAATACTGGAATTACTGTGATTTATAAGCATTCAATTTAAAGAAATGAGGAATAATTTTTGTGTTCCTTAAACCATAATTTAGAAACCAGTGTACTACTAGACCTATATGTTAATCTGTGAAATGAGGCCTAATTAATATTATACAAAGTTGAACCTAGTTTGTACTGTACAGCAGTGTTTGAAATAAGACATACATATTGGGTTGTCCAGTTGACAAACTTTGAACCAGTTATGGTTGTCTGCAATAAACTATAGTTGTTCACACTTTAATGAACACATTAGTTGAATAATAGTAATTACAAACTTGGTGTTCCGCTGTCCTAAATCAAATATCACACTAGAAAGCTCATTAGTTGAGAGAAAATCATGATTTTATCGAGAAACTTCATGAGCAGAACATGAGCTATTTCTATTTGTCAGACTTGAGCCATGAACAGCCACTTTGCCAGGAACTTTGGAATGTTATTTTATGTTTGTTTTGATCGTATTCATGATTGGCCTCTCTTTTCAAAGACTTTATGCCTATATTGTCTCGATTTTTCACCTTTGACGCAAAGTTGGTTCCTGAAATTCGAGCAGACAGTGCCAGCGTCTGTCTGTAAATCATTTACCCACCAGACGGTGACAGCATCCAATAGCACTTATGTCTAGTTGGCTGAAAACTAATCTAAACCATGTTATTATCCACATTTTTCAAATATACTAGATATTCTGTGAAGCATTATCATTTGTTTTTCAGGCAAATTTCAGATCAACAAATTGTGTGTTTGAGAGTGATTATTTCAGTGTTTCTTTGTGAAACCTAACCATTTGTTTACATCACTTGTAAAACAAAGATGGTGAGTGGAAAGAGGCCACTGAAACATTTTACAGCCGGGCAAGCAATGAGTATGTTCAATCAGTTAGATGAAAAGAGGGAGTAATGACAATGGTGATTCTAATCTTGACATTAGAAGAGAACTCTAGTGATGAAAGTGACTCGGAACAGTCATCGAGACCCAATTCCAGTGCTTCTCAGTCAGTTGATTAGAAGGGGCATCATCCCAGTCAGGCCATGAAAGGGAACCCCAGCTAGACCTGATCCACCTCCTAGATCTACATCCACTACCAGAGCCAGAGATAGTTATTGGGCTGAGGTAGATCTGCAAGATAGGTCAGCCACAAGTAAAGACTTTGAGTTTTTGCCGATAAACAGACATAATCCTGGTTTAAGCACTGACATCAATGATAACTTAACACCCATTGAATGCTTCAGTGCTTTGTTTACAGAAGATGGAAGTAATGAACTCATCACTGCTATCCAAGAGTACGCCAAAGCACAAGCTGCAAAGAAAATACCTGCTCAGAGACAGTAGAGGTATTTGAACTGGACTCCCTTTGCCCACTATGATCTGCTGAAGTTTTTTCCAATGACAACACCAGTGACTACTTCACCACCCACCAATCTCTCTACACACCCTTATACAACAGCGAGAAGTTTTAGGCTATTTACTTAACGGTACTTCATGTGGGTACCCCTGATACTGAAAGGAAAAAAACAAAAGTTAGAAAATTGAAATTTATAAGGTATGGTGATAATTATTAGAACATCATGAAAATAATTCCGGCAGACGGGCAAAAAAAATTATGGGTTTAAACAGTTAAAGCAAAGCTTATTTAACCATTCAGATCGACAACTTACCTCAAATACAGTATGAAAGTCTAATGTACCAAAACATGCAAAGTATAACTGGCAGAAATTAATATGGCATTATCAAAACCATTTGAGTGGTGATCCATTATTGGTCATATACTGTGACAGGTTTGCAAAATGTTATAACAAACACTTATTGGTAAACAGTATGTGTAGTCTTGATGATCACGTCTTCACGGAAATCAGAACATGGTGACCATAGACACACTACTGGTATTTGATATAGTACACAGAACATGCTAACAAAGGCTAGACACCTTAACTGCCATGGGATTGGGCCACGTTGTGGTTGTCCATTTGACAACATAGTAGTGCTTTTGACTTGTCAAGTGATAATTTGGGCCCGACATGGCCAAGTGGTTAGAGCGGTCGTCTCGCAATCTGAGGGTCGCAGGTTCGAATCCCCATCCCAAACATGCTAGCCCTTTCAGCCTTGGGGGCATTATAATGTGACGGTCAATCCCACTATTCGTTGGTAAAAGAGTAGCCC